TTCTGACCATATAAACATGAATGTTCTCTGCCATGGTAATAAAGCTTCTTGTCCACAAATAATTTTCGGCGTATTACTGTTTGCCTCTCACGCAAATTTACTTGTTCATGTGGTGTTAGCAATTTTTCTAAGATGACTATTATTTTTTTGGGTTTTAGCAGCAATCCCCTACTTTCTTAGGGAATCCTAATGCTTGTGAAATGATTTGCAGTACACAGTAAAAAATTTGCAGTTCGCTTTAACAGTTGAACCTGACAATGCCAAAATTGCACAAAAGTTGGCGTGGGCTGAGCATCAGAGAAGAGTTGGCCTTCCAACTATTCCATCAACCATTCAGGAAGAATTGGAGACTAACCCATTCATGCGGGCTGATCTTCCAGAGGTTCAGGTAACATTAGTTTCGTAGAACACCTATCTTATTGCATTTTAGAGGAGGAGAAAAAAGAAATACTTCTGATAAAATTAGCATAGAGTTTATTTAAGGGTGTGGCTTACCGGTTATTGAAGTCGGTAAAACCATGGGAGACCAGGGATTCAAATTGCATTAGAGACAAAGGTGCTAGGTGATTTCTTTTTATCCTCTTAAGGCTTGGTGGGTAAAGTTACTCACGTAGGTGGGAGGTATTAGGTATTTGGCAGAATAGGTGAGATGCCCAAGCTCGCCCCGGCACCACCTTTATCCAAGAAAAAAGGAGAAAAATATTAGAATGGAGTCTCTTAATGAGCATGTGATATGAATGTGTCTCTGCTACAAGTAGAGATGGCAATGGGGCGGGTTCGCTCTTATGTGGGTGGGCGGCTTAAGTTTAAACATTATTTGTAAAAAATTAATTGCGGGGGGGATTTGTTTATTTTACACCTCCATCTCATCAACAGCAACCCCACAAAATAACCAACTTTGTGGTTAAAACTACAAAACTCAACTCCATGCTATCTTCTCTTCTTCGATTATATATTCCAAGGAAATAAATAATACTTTTTTATGTATAGTATCTCAAGCACAATATTTGAATATATATAGTAGTATTTGGCAACATCCATCATCAAAGTCTTAACTCAATAGGACTGGAAGGCGAACTGCTATCTCAAAAATCATAAAATAGCGATAGACTTAGGGGGTGTCAAATGGGCGGGCTGGGGTGATTTTAAGCGGGTCAAAATGGGTTGAGTCAATAAGTGGGCGGGTCATTGACCTGCACAAAAGTTACTTGGGCTAAGACATGTTGGGTCAAGATGGGCTAAAATTTGGGTCATAGCCCAACCCACCCAAATTCTTACCAAATTTTAGTTAATGCGTGTTGTTTTTTTATGAATTGTGTAATTACCAAATAAGACTTTTCCCCTTTTGTTATGGTCATATATAACATATCAAACAATGAGGAATTATTTTAATGACATTTTAGCGAAGTTGATTATGGATCAATTTGGGCTAAAAATTAACCCAACTTTAGATGGGCTGGATCAAGATGGGCCGAGTTCAATAGTGGGTGGGTCAATGAGCGGCCCAACCTTGGGCGGGTTAAATGGGTTTGGGCTTAAATTGCCACCCCTAGATGGACCATTTTCCCATTTTAAACTATTGTCGTTTTTAATCTTTAACCGAAAATGATATAGTCACACTTTCATTATCCTCAAATACGTAGTGCAGTCTTGACGGGAAAAAATAAAAACTTTTGGGGACGGGG